GGGCCATGGACAAAAGACTTCTCACTGTTCTAACATTATTGGATTTCAGCAGTGCATTTAATTCAGTTGATTATGACATACTTCTTGGTATTCTTGCGTCCTTAAACATTTCACCATCAGTAATCTCTTGGTTTAATTCTTACCTTAGGGGTCGCTCGCAGTGTGTCCGCCATGAGGAGGATTTCTCCGAGTGGTGTGATCTTACGGCGGGTGTTCCTCAGGGTGGTGTTCTTTCCCCACTTCTCTTCTCTATTTTTATCAATGCTCTCACTACTGTTCTCTCCTCTCATTATCATCTCTATGCTGATGACTTGCAATTATACCGTCATTTCAAAGTCCAAGATATAGATGAGGCTATTAATAAGCTGAATGCTGACTTAAGTAGCATAAGCAGTTGGGCAAAATCGTTTGGTCTTCTTGTTAACCCTGCTAAATCCCAAGTAATGATTATCGGCAGCTCATATATGCTTAATTTATTAGATCGTTCGAAGATCCCTGCAGTAACGTATGATAATACTCAAATTCCATATACAGAGACCGCTAAGAACTTAGGTGTTATTTTTGATAATAATTTGTCTTGGGTCGCTCACATTAATATGATTAGCAGAAAAGTGAACTACTCTTTTCAATCTCTCAAGCGTCTCCAGATGTTTTTACCGTTAAAAACTAAGATAACCTTAGCTCAAGCACTTCTTCTTCCTCTCATTGACTACGCTGATGTTAGTTTTTTGGATGCTTCAGAGGAGCTGTTGAACAAACTGGAACGAGTTCAAAATTTGTGTATACGTTTTATTTTCGGTCTTCGTAAGTTTGATCATGTTTCAGAGTACAGGGCTCAATTAAAATGGCTTCCTATCCGTAAACGTCGAGACTTACATGTGTTATCATTTCTATACTTTCTACTCTTTAATCCTCTTGCACCTCCATATCTCCGCGAGCGTTTTGAGTATCTTGTACCTCGTGAAACTCAGTGCCGGACCACTAAACAACTACTTCTCAAAACTCCTTTTCATTTCACAAGCCGTTGTGGTGGATCCTTTACTGTAAGGGCGGTCAAGCTATGGAACTCACTTCCACATGACATACGTGCTAGCTCTTCTCTTGATATATTTCGGAGCAGAGTAAAGAAATATTATCTGTCAACTTAGAATTATAAATATTTACATATTTTATGTATTTATATGTATAATTGTATATATATGTATGTGTGTATGTATATATATGTATATATATATGTATATATATATGTATATATATGTGTGTGTATATGTGTATATGTGTATATATGTTTATATTTATTATCTTTATTGGTATATATGTATGTAAATTAATAGAAATAAGAATAAAAGGAATAAGAAAATAAATTATACTTATATGTTATACACTTATATGTTAATTGTTAACTGTAACTTATAGCCAATTTCTATTAAGTAGCGTTATGTTAATTATTGAGTACGCACGCTGCTACCTACTTGCTTTATATATAAAACTATTTCTCTTTCCCAATAGGTTTGCTGGAAGAGAACTCTTATTAGGGTTAAGCTCGCCTTTGTACATTTATTTAAATATTTAATAATTGTTACCAACTTATTGTGTGTACAATAAAGAATAAACTATGGAAACACAAAGTAGGCAAATGTAAAAATGCTGGAGGCAGGTAACCCTATCACATGTTTACGTGCCGCACGGCTGTAGGCATTTATTTGAAAGATACGGCTGAGTTACAATACTGTATAGATAATATTACCGTGCCGGGAGTCTCGGCGGTAGTAGCGAAGACGTCGTCTAACGTTCAAAGAGGATTTTATTTTGAAATGAATTTTTTTTATTCAATATTAATTATTACATAATACTTGTTGAGTCATTGTTTTATTTACCACTGGTTCAGAAAATACTTCTGTCCTGGAAAGAACCAGCAAGAAACCCAGTGGGACTATTTAAAAAACATAGCTTACAATCATGTGTGTTACAATTAACACATAACAAATTAGAAATAGCTTGGTAGTGATCATCCTTCCCAGGGGTTATTATCATCTATAAATTCCTTAATATTATAATAACCCTTTTTATACAAACTTAGTTTAATAAAGTTTTTGAACTTTGTGCAAGTCAAGCCTGCTTAGCCTGGATAACCTGCTTATTTATCAATATCCATTAGTAACTATGAACATAGTATGACTACTACATACTAAATTACTTCAGTGAAACATGTTTCTTAATTTTACTCTTAAAACACACACACACACACACACACACACACACGCATATATATATATATATATATAATATATATATATATATATATATATATATATATATATATATGTGTGTGTGTGTGTATATAAGCATAACAAGATATATACTCAAGTTTTATTTCATTTTGCAAAACATTCCATGCACTGATTGTTACCGGTTACCGATAAATAAACTAAACAAGGCTACAATAATGTTAATAATTTGCATTTAAATGGCACTAAAACTAAATATATGAAATTCATAGCTCGGAATATGCAATATGGAAATACTAATGTAATTTTGAATGGGGAGGAGCTGAGTCTTAGCAATACCACCATTTTTTGGAATCATCATTTCGGAATCACACCAGACGTAAAGCTTCAATGGGGCCCTATATTTTGAAACTAGCAAGCAAAAAGAAGTATAATTCCGTCTCTAGGTCCTTCAAAAGAGTCATTATCAAGGCAAAGTCAGAGCACATAGGCAGAATTGGCGAGAAACTAGTTCGCCTTCCTTATGGAACCCGTGCATTCTGGTCCCTCGCCAAAGGTGTTCAGGGGAATTTCTGTCAGCCATCTCTTCTATCTCTGCACAGGGAGGACGACTCATTGGCCCATACCGCAAAGGAGAAAGCCGATCTTCTAGGCTCTTTCTTTGCGTCCAACTCGACTCTTGATGACGGGTGGAGTACGTCACCGACCATCCCGCGGTGTGAGTGCTCCATGCCGGAAGTGCAGTTCACACAGCGCTCGGTTCGCAAAGCACTCCTCTCCCTGGACATCCACAAGTCGAGTGGGCCTGACGGAATCCCCCCAATTGTGCTGAGGACGTGTGCTCTAGAGTTGGCACCGGTTTTAACGCGTCTTATCCGGTACTTCTACTCCCTAAGCGTAGTCCCAAAATCATGGAAGACGGCTTTCGTCCACCCGATCCCTAAAAAAGGCGACCGCTCAGACCCGTCCAACTACCGGCCTATCGCCATCACCTCCTTGTTCTCCAAAACAATGGAGTCTATTTTTAACTGCCAGCTCATGAGGTACCTTGAGGATCATCAGCTGATTAGTGATCGCCAATACGGTTTTCGCCGTGTTCGGTCAGCTGGTTTCTTCTGGTCTACCTAACTCACAGATGGGCGCAGGCAGTAGAGTCCAAGGGGGAGGCATTGGCCGTTAGTTTGGATATTGTGAAGGCCTTCGATCGGGTTTGGCACAAAGCGCTTCTTTCGAAGCCGCCTTCCTATGGGCTTCCAGAGAAATTATGCAATTGGATCACCAGCTTTATTGCAGATCGGAGCATCAAGGTCGTTGTAGACGGTGCAAGCTACGATTACAAGCCTGTGTTCCACAAGGCTGCGTGCTATCGCCAACGCTGTTTCTTCTGCATATCAATGATATGTTGCAAACCCGTAACATTCATTGCTATGCAGATGACAGCACTGGTGATGCTCTTTACACCGGCCGTGCCAATATTTCTCGGGAAAACGTCTCCGAGTACCGGGACAAACTATAAAAAGCTTGGCGTGCTCAGCAGAGCGGTACAGTATTTCATGCCGGCATACCGCCTGCAACTTTACAAGGACGCAGGTTCGGCCGCACATGGAATACTGTTCCCATCTCTGGGCTGGGGCTCCCCAGTACCAGCTTCTTCCACTTGACCGCATCCAGCGCAGAGCGGCTCGAATCGTCGACGACCGAGTGCTTTCCGATCGGCTCGATTCACTGGCACTGCGAAGAGATGTTGCATCTCTTTGCCCTTTCTTTCGCATATACCACGGGGAGTGCTCTGAGGAATTGTTCGGATTAATCCCAGCCGCCAAATTTCGTAAACGCACTACGCGGCAAACGTCCCGATACCATCCACACCATCTGGATGCTTGGCGGTCCACCACTGTACGTTTTAAAAGGAGTTTTCTTCCGCGTACAACCTCTCTGTGGAATAATTTACCACCGGCGATTTTTCCGGAGCGATACGACCTGGGGACCTTCAAGAAAAGAGCATACTCCTTTCTAAAGTGCCGGCAACGCACCTGCAAATCCCCTGGTGTTGCGGTTGATCATGGGCGGCGGTAGTCACTTAACATCAGGTGAGCCGCATGCTCGTTTGCCCCCTCTTCTATAAAAAAAATTAATTCTGCACCATTTGCTGTAAAAAATTTAAAATATACAAGTTAGTCAAAACCTCTGCCTTAGGTGCCTTCTGTTTGGGTAAATTGGCACATGGAAAAAAGGGGTAGGTTTTCACTCACAATTAGTGGTGTAGCAAAGGTTCCTACAAACAGAGGCCGCTGGGACCTAACATGCTGCCCCGGCATCCTCAACTACTCATTTTAAAACACTATATCAGTAAAATTCTTCCACTGTCTATTGTATATTACTTAAAAATTAATAAAACAATATGATCTAGGCAAATGCGTTTATGTGCGGATTACCTCAATTTTTCAGTAATTTTCAATGTTACAGTGTTCGTTATATTTTAATTATAGATATTTATTATCATTATTCGGTCTGGAGGACATTATTATTACTATTGAGTAAGAGCTTTTTGGATTTTTCGAGATCCTTAATGGCAGGCGAGGATCTGAATTTCTTTTCCAATACGCCGCCCTCAAAAGTCTACTAACCTGGGCTACCCCACAGCTCCGTCCTAATTAAGCCACAACCCACTGTCACAATATAGACTACTTTATTTTGTGTTTCTACTACATAAACATTAATCTATTGGGCATTCATTTAATAAAAGTGAATAAAATACTATCCATATTCTAGGTGCCCATAAATGTCCGCGCGGTGATACCGTTATGCGAAAACTTAATCAGTGGTCAGTGTATGAAAGTCGGAGACGTGGTACGAGCTCTCAATGGTACCACTATACAGGTAACAGAAAATTATTATTTATCTTTAAGCGTATGGTACTCGTAGTTTATAGGCTTAGGGATAGAGCGCATCAAGTGCGTACTTAGCATTAATTAAGCAACAGATTAACTACAACAACAACTTTAAACTCCATACTTATAAGAAATCAGTAAAAGACTTTAAAACAAAATTGCCACAGCTATGTCTTGCCAGATGATGTTCTATCAAATGTCTCAAATACAATTAAGAAAATTAAAACAATATGAAAACATTCCATATCCACTTCTACAATAGTTCCTATCAACTTCTGCTGCAAAGAGATCATCCAATCCAAGCTCTTAATATTTGGCGAAATCGAAGATAATGCAGTAGAAGATTACATTTTTTTTGTGTAGAAGTTTGTTTTCCTTGGTATTTCGTTTGAATGGTATTCCAATTTAATAAAAGCTTATTTTACAAATTCGATGAAGAAAAACATAAGAGTAACTCTTTAAAATAGATTTAATAAGCATTGCTACAATCAGTATTTCTTCAAAATATGTGAGATTTAAAATCTAAAACATTTTTGTTGAAATTGAAATCTTAAATTTCCACTCAATAGTTTAGGTCACATTATGAATAAGAATATGTATTGACTTTTGTCAAATAATGATTTCTTAAAATACTTAACGCGAAAATCCGTATAAAAATTTTTATTGCTAATGTGTAGTTTACACATTAAATAAAACTATTTATACGGATTTTATTTAATGTGTAGTGTACGCATTAAATAAAACTATTTATACGGATTTTATATAATGTGTAGTGTACACATTAAATAAAATCCGTATAAATAGTTCTATTTAATGTGTAGTGTACACATTAAATAAAACTATTTATACGGATTTTATTTAATGTGTAGTGTACACATTAAATAAAACTATTTATACGGATTTTATCGCGTTTAATTAACTTATTTTTAATACCCGACGTGATCATGGTAGGGACTGAGATGTTTGACGTCCCAATGTCATAGTTAGCCCGGTTGCCTTCAGTTTTTGAATATTAATTTTTGGTCTGATCTACGCAGAACGAACTTATAGTATGTAGAAGTCTAGCGGTGGTATGATTGGGTTTGGATTTAATTTTTTTAATTATAGGATCCCAAGCAGATGGTAGCACCCATCCATCTTTTTTATTGAAATTAGGATGTTAATTCCAATGTGTTCGGTGTTCTTTTGCGAGGATTTGTGGTCTATCAAATCTCATGTAACGGTGGGGACGATCTTGACCATGTTCACAGACTGCAGCTATCCCGGAGCGCCGGTGCTTCCCGTCAGCTATGTTCTTTGACGCGTGTTTTTATATATCTTTTTGTTAGTTGTAGGAAAAACCACGCTCACAATCTAGCTTGTAGGTACATTCCTGCATCTTGTAGCGGGATATTACATTTGATGGATGGTAAAATGGAATAATCCTCTTCGGCGGCTTGTAATATGTTTTAATGAAAGCTCGCTTCAAAATGTAGCCAAGCTTTAATGTGTCTCATTTGACACATGGTAGTACAGCAGGCACACGCTCGACTGTGACCGCCTTCACTCGGTCACTGTGAGATAGTCGCGGGTCTCGAAGCTTGTTGTCTTGCAATAATTAATTTTCAAAAAGTGAGTGGATCAAACATCTCAGTCCCCTCTGTAACCATAGGGAATAAATCAGTTAATTAAACGCGATAAAATCATTATAAATGGCCTTAATCAAGTCCAAAACTGCTAGTGAATTACATTTCAGATCGAGGACACAGACATGGAGGGACGCTTGATGCTTGCGGATGCGCTGGTGTACGGGCAGGCCATGTACAGACCCACACTCGTTGTCGATGTCGCTACGCTTACTCGTGGGTATTCGTATTATGTGCATGTTACAAGTATACCCTTATATCAATGACTGAGACAATATCCAAATAGGTTTGTAGGTTAAATAGAAGATATCATAGTTCCACAAAATGCACACGCTTAAAAGAGTACTTAGAGGAAGTCACTATTTTTAAGAGTGATGAATAAGCACACAGTCCATCTGATGATAAATGGATACTGTGGTCCAAAGAATTATACATTTAGCCTCGATCAAGAATCAAAATGCGTTATGTTGTCACCACTGAGGACTTCTGAGTGCCCAGTGGTGACAACACACCGGAACGGAGAAATGCATTGTTTGCAGTAAAAAGGGTGTCCGGCTCTCAACACTCATCAAACGAAACACAGCAGCATTAAGTTGCTATTTTACGCTGTTATTCCGTGAGAGCATGATTCTACCCCGGTCAAGCCGACCCATTCATGCTACAACTGCAATATAGTTGCACCATGGTTCTATCACAAAAAAGTAAGTAAAAGTAGACGTGTTGTCGTGCAGGAGGGATACTGCTGGCTACAGGTGGTGGTGCTTACGGCTGCTTCAGCAGCGGCGAGGAAGCGTGGGGCGCGTTGCGGGCCGCCGGCGCCGCGGCAGGGGACCGGCCCTGGCGCCTGCCGCTCTGGAACTACTTCCGCAACCAGCTGATCGGTATAAGCTCCACACTACACACGGCACATTGAACACTGCATACAACACACTGGTCACTGCACACAACACACTATTCACTGGACACAACACACTGCTTACTGCAAATAACACACTGCCCACTGCACACTACACACTATACACTGCACACAACACACTGCCCACTGCACACTACACACTATACACTGCACACAACACACTGCTCACTGTACACAACACACTATACACTGCACACAAAAACTGCTCACTGCACACAACACACTGCTCACTGCAAATAACACACTGCCCACTGCACACTACACACTATACACTGCACACAACACACTGCACACTGCACACTACACACTATACACTGCACACAACGCACTGTTCACTGTACACAACACACTGCTCACTGCACACAACACACTGCCCACTGCACACAACACACTGCTCACTGCAAATAACACACTGCCCACTGCACACTACACACAATACACTGCACACAACACACTGCCCACTGCACACTACACAATATACACTGCACACAACACACTATACACTGCACACAAAAAACTGCTCACTGCACACAACACACTGCTCACTGCAAATAACACACTGCCCACTGCACACTACACACTATACTCACACAACACACTCCAACTCACACAACACACTGCTCACTGTACACAACACACTATACACTGCACACAAAAAACTGCTCACTGCACACAACACACTGCTCACCGCACGATGCACACTACACACTGCAAACTGCACACTGTAAATACATATACCAGGTACAGCGCTAAGCCGGCTCTGGCCCTATACACAATATCTTTTCTTTAAAATTTAAGCATTTCTATTAAATTTCTTAAGCAAATTCGGCCTTCTATATTTAAAACATCAAAATCTACATTGGTTCGCAAAACGAGACTGAGTTTTTCACCGAGACACTCATAAGAACCGACAAGACACTCGGAATCTTTGTTTTTTAGGCCATGTCCGTGGTACAATTTCATTTACAATACCTACATCATAGATAAGAATTCCAATGAAATATTTTAAAATATTAATTTTAACAAAAAAATATAATAATAACCAGAGGGGAAGACCTGAAACTTGCAAGTGCAGAGTAAAAGTTATCTCCAAATAACGTGACTTAAATTTTTTGATTTGATGATTTATTATAAGTTTTTTTTAAACATTTTATATTAGGTGGACTGCATTCTTGTTTGGGAGTTACTGGCATTAAAAATATAAACCATATTTGCCAACTAACGCATTCTTGAAAACATTTTTTGTATAGTAAGTGAGCTTAACTCTATGTAATATAATATATTTTTAGATTTGCCGTGTAGTGGCGGCTAAGAATATCCATATCTTTCCATGGGTGTCGTAAGATTCGACAAAAGAAAACATGCAGGAGATGGACAGCAGAATTGACAACCCACTCGCCAAGCGTGGCAGCATCACCTATAATGAAAGTTACGAAGAGACGGCCCCTGTCCCTGGCGACCCGGCTATTCCTGGCTACGGTGGCGACCATGGTAATGGCGGGGCTCCCTGCTCCGCCGTTACCACGCTAATGATCTCCGTTGGAGGTTCGGTTGCCACTTAAGACGACTCGACTTGGCAACATATAGGTAACGCTACGTGCGTTATATGTTGCCAAGTCGAGTCGTAACGCTAGTTGCCCTGAGAACTGACGAGAAGATCTTGGAGCTAGAAGAAGAGATAGACAAGTTGCGCTGGTATATTATAGGATTACCTGGGGTCTGAAAAGAGTGTGAGGACACGGTAATCCTCTAATCTGGCAACTTGTTCTATCACCGGGGAGGCGACCATCTGTTCCAAGGAGGTGTGGGATTTATCATTCACAAGTCTCTTGTTAACAACATTGTACAGATTGTTTGTCAACAAGGGTTGCGTTCCCTAAACTTAGTATCACCAAACGGTATTCGTTGAAGGTCACCACAGGTTTACGCACCAACGTCGGCATCCCAATGAGGAAGTGGAGAAAATGTATAAGGATACATTTTCTCCACCATCCATTCCTGCAAAACCTACTATAAGGTGTTAATGGGAGACTTCAACGCAAAACTAGGCACAAGAGAAAATGAAGTGCTGAGGGTAGGGAAACAACGGAACCCAAGGGGCCAGCGCCAGCAGCTGACTAACTTCATGCAGAAAGTTAACTTCATCGTGTTTGTACAACGCACTATGCTTAGTGACCTCAATAGTGTCTCCTAACGGATAGGTTTTATGGTGAACATGGGCAAAACAAAGATCATGTGTAGCGTTCATGTCATACCCAAACCGGTAGTTGTTGAGAGCACTAAGCTCGAAGTTGTTGACGAGTATATTTACCTTGAACAAATAGTCCGATTAGGTAAGTCTAACTTCGACCAAGAGGTCAATCCACAGATTCAACTCGGCTGAAAGGCCGCCAGCCTGAGTCAGATGAAATTACGACACATCTTCTCGTTAGGTATACCTCAAACTCTGAAAACTATATTGTACAACCACTGCGTGTTGCCAGTGATGACTTATGGATCTGAGACGTGGTCCTTCACTGCTGGCCGTATGAGGACGCTCAAGGTCGCTCACCGAGATCTATTGTGAGGGCTACGAGAAACCCCGTTCTTTGCGTGATAAAATTAGAAATGAGGATATTCGTAGTAGAATCAGAGCTACCAATATAGCCCAACGGCTTAGTAAGCTGAAGTGGCAATGGGTCGGACATATATGTCGAAGAACCGACAACCGATGGGGAAAAAGGTTCTCGAATGGCAGCCTCATACCGGTTGGGAAAGTGTAGGGCGACCCACCATTTGATAGAGTGATGACCTGGTAAGACATGCAGGAAGTCGATGGATGCAGGTGGCTCAGGACCGTGGTTTGTGGCACTCCTTGGGGAAGGCTTATATTCAGCAGTGGACTTGTGAGGTGTTTTATTTTAGGTAAAATTACTTACTATATATCAATGATCCCATCCAGATGATCCATCGGTGGACTTACGAAATAAAGGATCAGGCACGGCTACTCCTTGCATCGGCGCTGCATTTCTAAAGGTAAGAATTAGTTGTACAGTATTGTTAGTTTAAAAATAAATGCGCTATGTACTATGTAGCTTTTAGATTACAATCGTTGGGACGTTAAATTATTCACTTAGCAATCAATACCGGTCAAAGCAGTTTTGATGTGTTCTACTATAAAAAACTATACAAGGAGTGAGTTTATCTGCTGAGGCGAGAAAGTCTGCTTTCTCAGAAACGAGCAACGTTGTGGTAGCTTGGAGCTTGGTTCTTTTCAGCTCGTTTAAGTCCACTGCTGCCCATGAGCATCTACTGTTGGGTTAGAAAAATCCTCGCCTTGAAATCGCCACGCTGTTATACAATCATCTCGTATCGCCATCAATCAGAAACCGTGATCTTTCTTGGTATCATAGAGAAACATATCAGGTGTATGCTGTAGCGTCTTAAAATCTAGAAAACAAAATACTGCCCTTGCCAACTCTTAATCATCTTAACCGTGTCTCTTAAAAAAACTTAACCTTTTAGTGGTGGTGTAACAATATCTTACACCCCGTATCATCCCGTGGGTGTCGTAAGAGGCGACAGAGGGATACAATCAGGAGCTGGGCCGCAGCGTCGTCCTAATACCGATTAAAAATAAAACACTGAGGTTGCCAGCCCGATTGCCAATCGTGTCAACTGTGACATATAACTCCTCTACGGGGCAATTATGGGGAGATCTATGTTTGGACAGTGGACTTTTGAGTTATGTTTGCAGTGCACAAACATGTGCGCACACTGCAATGGTATAAACAGGCCGTAGTATAGTCAATAAGTAAGCAAACCAGTCATTTTCATAACTAATTAATGAAATTTATAGTTGTTACACACTTACAAAATTTCAGCTTAAAATAGTTGCTTAATGTTTCGTATGGTGAATGTAGAGAACTGGAGACCCTTTTTACTGTTAGAAACAAGGCATTTTTAGTCCTCAGGGGTGACAACTCATCTGCATTTGGATTCTTAATCGAGGATAAATGTAGATGTCTACAGGCCGCAGCATCCATTTACCATCAGTTGGACTGCGTGCCCGCTTCTCAGCCTTATTCTATAAAAAATAATTCATGAATGAGTGATAACGGCGGGAACGTGTCGTAAGCAGCAATTCGTGTGCGGCGACTGGCTGCACCTGGACGTGACGGGCGTCGGCAAGCTAGCGCATGCGGCCGCGCCGCCCTACCTGCGCCCAGAGCGCATGAGCGGCCGCCCCACGCGGGCGCTCGCATACTTCCTGGAACGCCTGAACCACGCTTCCACAACGTATCCAACACACCAATACACACAGCCCCGAAAAACAAATAGCAGGGGTGAACACAAACTCGCATGCTCAACACACTAACACAACTAAATCCAAAAAGCAAATAGCATGAACCAGGGATAAACATGCTACACAGACCCACAAACCTGCATGTCCAACACACCAACACAGCTAACTCCGAAAAACACAGCATGAACCAGGGATGAACACGCCACAAGAGGGCTTCTTCATAAAAGAAAGTAAGTGATTAAAAATAGAAACAAGTGTTGTCAGTAAGAGACCTGTTGTTGTTACAAAGACTTTAATTAGATTACTCTAATATCCTTATCATGGTGGTTACACTACATTACGTATTACTTTTTTAGTATACGTGTTACGTTTTTAACATTCTTACTATGTCGTCCGATTCTGAGCTATGTTTCAAAATTTCAAATCTCTAGCTTAACAGAAAGTCACTTTAATTCAATTGAACAGATATACACGAAATAAGTTAATATATAAATACGTAGTAAAAAATATATCTACCACACGGAGTTTTAGCGATGTGCAGTGAAATACAAGCAATACCAATAAACCAAGGATGAACGCGCCACACAACCCCAATCCACAAAAGTAAAGAAAATAAAAATGAATTAAAAAAATATCTACCACATAGAATTTTAGTGTAAAGAAACGCAAGTAACCGCAAGTGCAGTGCAATTTCAAGTGTCATTTTATCCCTTGACAGTTCACTTGCATACCAATAATATAATGCAATAAAAGGAAACCTAAGTATATCGGGTGAGTACGACTCCGCTTGAGTAGCGGCTTTAGGGGCCACAGGTTCAATCCTGCACGGAACAGGCGTTTCTATGACTTACAAATAATTGATCCGGATCTGGATGTTGGTCGGTAATATTACCCAAGAAAACAATGCTAAGCTAACGTAATCTAATTTCGCGAACATGGGTAATTTAATGGGACTTAATATATCTATTAACTGTTCCGTTTTTTATGGATAAGGTAAAAACTCGAGAAAAAACCTCTTTTTTTAAACCGCCTGTGTTTTGTTTATTCATAGTCAATTGTAGTCTGTAATCAGTAACTGTCTACAGCTCAGCAACCAATTTAAAGTGATGTTCAATTTTCGCAACTACCAAGAAGTCTCTGAATATCCCAAAGAGTCCTCTCCGTGTAAAAAAAACATCCTTTCATAGTGTCAACTTTTGTAAAGATCTTGTTTTCCATCTTCATTTTTTACAATATGGAATTTAAGTGTCAATCGAAACCAAATCCCATATGTTGTATAATAATACCTACAACAAACAAAAAGATGTAATAATACTTGAATATACACTGTTTCCCCTTTTGTTTTTATTCATCGTATAACTTATTATAAATATTGTTCAATGTAACCTTTACTGTCGTGTTTTTGTATGTTTCTATTGTCAAGGTTTTGAAATATTTATAAAGGTATGCAAATAAATTTTCAAAAAACTAGCGTATTTATATTTTTTATACACAATACAATAATGACTTTTAATGTACCGGCTTTAAACATTGAACATTGAACATTGAACGGGCACACGTAGAGTGCACTAACGTTTGTTGGAATCTACTTAGTCTGTTTGTAAAATTAATGATTACTTATACTATAAGCTTTAACTGTGTAGTGACCAATAATAGTTTGTATTACACTACACTATCACTGGGTGACCAATGATAGTGTATATTATACACTACACTATCACTGGTTACAGTTAGTACACAGTTGGGCCTACTCCGTGGGTGCCATAAGATTATGGAGGGAAACCGAATCAGGAGATAGACAGCGGCATCTTCCTGATCCAACTCCAACTCAAGAAAATGAATAACAGCGATTGCCAACCCGCCTACCGTGTGATAAACGTGGCAACTACGAGTATGATCAATTCTCTCCTATGAGGCAATCTATGGATGATGTATGATGAAACTAGAAATAACATAACATAAACACTCATGCCTGTTACTTAGAGGGGTAGGCAGAGACTACAGACTTCCATTTAACACGATCCTGATATACCTCTCCCGCCTTCTTCACATCAATATACCTACGCATACATGCTCGTTGGTTAAGGGTACTCTTAATTTGGCCCATTTTCAACACATCGCCAATTTAGTCGATAAATGTCCCTTTCCGACTTTTACGTTCACTTCTGCAACATAAATTTGCTTTATCACTTTTTCCTCTCTTTCTACGTGACCAAACCACCGAAACTAGAAATGGATGGGCGGATAAAAGAGCGTTCCTGTTCCGTATAATATTCTATTATTTCTTGTTATCATCATTAATCATCGTTACAGCCCTTCACTTACCTACTGCTGAACATAGGCCTCCCCAAGGAACGTCACGAAGCACGGTCATTAGGAACACGCTGCTGCCCATCTCCTGTCTGAATTTCCCTCTGTCGCTTCTTACGACACCCACGGGAAGATATGGGGTAGTGAGGACTTCCACGACTTTTAGTGCCACCAGGGCGGCGTCACTTACAAATGAGGTGTAACATTTGACAGATTTCATTGCTGGGATGTTAGTTTGTTCGAAATATGTAAAGTTTAATGTTTCTTTCTGTACCATTAGTTATATTTTGTATTCATTAGATTAAAAATAAATAAACCAAACCACAGATATTCATAAAAATAGAATAATCAAAAGAATTGTTAATAATGTGTAAAGAACAAACCATAGAGGCATTGTTTTGTGTATTAATATAATATTCTAAATTAAAATTACTACTAAATTACCAAGTAAATGACACTGTATAACAAAAAACTTTACCTCAATGTCAACTAGTGTAAGATTATTTGCTCTCATTGCAATGCTTACACCGCCACTACACCGCCACAATTTTTGTAATAATAATAATTAAAACGACAAACAAACGTACAGTCCACCTGATGGTAAGTGGCTAGATGCATTCTGTGGACACCTGTAAAGAAACAAAGAAGATTACAAATGCGACATAGCAGTGCACGCACTGCTATTTGCCTGTAGAAATAAGTAAAGGGGTGGTCAGACGGACTCTGTTGAATTCTTAGGGTAAAAAGCAGTGTTATTTAAAAAGAACGTTACCTCCCCACACTAGTATTTTCGGTGCCGGGGCGTTGTAGAGTATGACCTTAACCCGGACACAAAAAATTTAAAAATGGTTATTCATGTTGCATGTTGACACACTAACTTAATTTTTAATCAAGAAATTTTTCTCTCAGAAGCTATAATTTTGTGAATTTTTATTCTTTTTAGAACTTAGTCAGTTTTTTTTAAATTATTGTTTTATGTATCAGGTGATCAAAGTGCGTTAACGATTTTATTATCTTGCGCAGTTTATGATAATATATTACGTCATGGCCCGATGACTTCATTGTTGACTAATAACGGATCATTATATTAACAGCGAGCCCAAACATTAGCAGGAAAAAACCTATCACAGCTGTATCACTAGATCACTAGTTTATAGCTTTTTGGAATTGTTTATTATTATTCTGATATAAATGTGTGAAGTGTGAACTATTTTAAAAAGAACTGTTCAAATACCATCCTCATAAATACAAATATTAATTCTGTATAATTATTTACTGAACCTACAATTCTCAAATTTTTTAACTCTTATAAAGCTAACCTGAGAAAGTCTAGCGTAAATTTTTCTATTCTACTGCATTTTTGTGATCACAGCACAGTTTTTTTATTTAATCTTTTTTTATATCATAACTTTTAGACTTACAGCCTATAAGCCCATTGCTGAGCGTAGGTCCTACCTCTACTGTGTAGGGGCGGTGGAAGAATATCCACTGTCCTATACTTTGATTATATAGACAGGTAAATAATCAAAGGTCCTATATATCATCCCGTGAGTGCCGGGACAGGCCACAGAGGAAAACAAATCAAGCATTTCATCAAGCATCAAACAGCGCCTTCCCAATAACGACTATCGACTAAAACTAAAAACATCTGTTGCGAACACGCTTGCCAGGCCTGGCAAATATTCCCCTTTGAGCCAGTCTATGGGGGAAGCCTGTGTCCAGCAGTGAACTTTAATAGGTTGTAAAGTTAACGGTTAGGGAACATAAGTCTCCCAAATAGAGCTGTGGCATAAATCTCCTTATGGGGTAAGTTACAGTTTTTGCCAAAATTGCCACGCTTGGCAACCACAGTTTTTATATTATTTTGAGGTGTTATTAGGAAGATGGTGCTGCCCATCTCCCGTTTTAGTTTCTTCTGTCGCCTTTTACGATTCCCATAGGACGATTTGGGTCAATGGATATTCTTACACCGCCAGTAAGCATATGTATCCACTATTAATTATTATTCTTCCTCTACACTCCATGATTTTTATTTAACTTTATTTGTAAAGGAACTGTTTAAATACCGTCCTCAGAATTATATTAAATCCGAACTTAATATTCACTTCCACTTGAGAAAACAAAGCGTAAATTTTTGTCCTACCACATTTTTGTGATTTCAGCACCTACTGTTTTATTTCAACCTTTATTACGCTTTCAAGGGTTACAAGGAGCGGACTAAGTGTCTAATAGCAATTTCTACCAGTCAACTGACTTGACTGATTTAGGGCTGATATTCATATAACCTTTCACAGTTCGTTCTCGGTCTGATTTATTATATTATTGGAAAGGGATTAGAGCGAAACTTGACTGTTACGCATAGTAGTATGAATGCACACACACATTTTTTACTTGATAATATTTTATCAGACCGAGATCGGAACGAGAACGAACTGTGAAAGACATTATAGTGTGGATCGGCCCTTATGGCCAAATTCTCTAACGCTATCAATGTTATCATAAGTTATTTCTTATAATATCATTGAACGCTATTCAATTTTCGTTACGTCTCGTGGTGTCACAGTCACTTTGTTTTAAAGTGATAGAGACGTCACGAGACTTAACGACGTCTTAAAATTGAGCAGCGTATTTGGTTATTGGTATACGTATAATTCAGTAGATTTATAAGTCTCCTGCTAGACATTGTCCTCTTCCGTGGTAATCATTTGCATCGGCGGCACTAGACGCAGCTGCCTGTCGCCGCTCAGAACGCAAACAAGGTT